GACCGAGTGTAAGAACATTTTTAGTACAACCCTAGAGTCCCAGCCTCGAAGACTCGGAGGAAGATGAAAGAAAATATTCAGCGTTCCGTGGTTTTATAGGCAACGATGTGACTCTACATAGCCGCCTGTATGCGGAAACGATAACAGAACCTCTCCTTACATAGTAGTTCCTAAAAGGTTCGCCGATGACTTGCTAATAAGAATAGAAGCGGAGAGTAAGTGTAACTGTGCTGTACTGGTCAGCACTATAACAAACGGCATAGATGCCACTACGGGATTCTGCATTTATGAACAGCTCCGCTGCAGAGAGGGCGGAATGGAACGTGGGAGAGTAGCTCAAAAAATCGTATGGGGGAAGAGACGTTGCGTGCGGACCATTACAACAGAAGAAGTGCCGTGTTGGGAAGATTTCTCTCGACATTACGCAGTTTTATGGTTGGCTCCCGAAGGATTCGTTAGACAGTTCACAGAGCAAACTGAATTTGTGGAAATTTTTGCAGAATAATTCTCCAATAACGAACGAATCGAAAGATGCTATCAAAGCTATATGACTGATTGGCTCTTCTATTTTATGGCCGCTTCTGACCACGGAATTTTTCCAAATTCCCAAGAACTTTACATTGTGACCTAGGTCAATCAATAGAGCCTGGGATGATGGTTACAAATGTGAAGACCAAAACTGCTACGTGAACCTGTCAAGGAAGTTGTTAGCGATCAAAGTGGTCCCAAGTTCGATTCCCCGTGGGGCAAATTTTGCATTCTAGGTTGGCGCTTCCAGATTGGTGCAAATGGCGTCTGCGCCAAGAATAGATGTCATCTTCGTAATCAGGCCATCAGAATCCCTTGCAAGTAGGCTTTTGTCAAATATCATTATACCAACGCTGCATTAACAGCCAACTTTGATCGCTCACAATTTCCTAGGCAGGTTTGCGTAGCAGTTTTGCTTTCCATGCCAGTAACCAACATTCTTGGCTCTATAGATTTACCTAAGCCTCAATTTAAAAATCTTTGAGAAACAGGAACACTTTCTTCGTAAGGAGATATAAGCCAAAGCCGGGTACCTTTTTGCCGCTTTCAATTTTTCGAAACCCCTCCCTAGCTTTTGTGAGGTCCTCGCACAATTCTCCGTTGTACTTTATCAGGTGAAACGACGACGTTAAGTGAAAAACCCCTAACTTTTATTAGGAAAGGCGGGATGCTTGAAATCATGAGAGAAGGTTTTATATCCAGATAGTATGAGGAAAAAATTTAAAAAAAATGAGAAGGCTTTCCTCGCTCGAAGGTCTGCCCAGTTTCCGAAAACTTCTCTAACGGTCCGAGGCCTTTTCTAAACTCTTTATGATCCATCATAGAGGATTCCACTGCTTTCATTTAAACGTCCAGACAACCTCCGGCAGTTGGTTAAGCTGCCGACTCTTTCAAAATAGGATTAAATACGAATTCCCTAACCCAAATCGGGAACAATGCAGTCCAATGTTTCGTGGCCAGAATGCGACACCCATTGAGCCGTTCTCGATAAGTGAGATGCGGGGACGGTGGATTTTAGTTGTGCCCTGGAAGCCTGACGGTATTGTTTTGGAGCGGCAGGGATTTTTAAGAAGATATATGAATAAGAGTGCGTGGCAAGGAAGGGCGAAAGCGGCAGCTCACGGTCATGGACCATCGAGGTTGCGAAAGGGACTCGGGCACGGGCTCAAGTAACTCTGGGGGAGGGTCTTCCAGGAAAAATCAGTGCAAACCAGAAAGAAGCTCCTAAACTACAGCGACAAGAAGGAATTGAAATCGTATATTCAAAGCTTAGACCGATGAATACCGTATCAGGGGCTTTCACGAACGACAATATATTGTTTTATAAAGTCGAGGCGCCATCTACTTTTGTAAATATTGATAAAGAATAACGATAAACACACAATTGAGGAGTTGATAGGCCGCCGGAAAAAAAGGCCGTTGAGGTTATTAGAGAAGTTCGTGAATTTTCAGCAGTGATGAAGACGAGGGGAAATGATAAACAGGAAGGAAGAAAAGCAGGAGAAACGCCTGAGTAACGAGTGCAAGTGAGTGAGTGATGTGAGCTGTAAGAGGAGGGAGCGCCAGCGACAAAAGAACTCCGTACGACCCATTCGAGACTAGTGACGGGAAACGTTGGCAGCTGAGCTGAAGAAGCACTAGAACTTCCCGTCGAACTCTGTTCTCCAATTTCCGCGTTCAATATCCTTCATGTCCATGAATCCTTCGGCGATGAAACTGCTCCGAATTTCCCACAACAGCGTTCCAGTCGGCCTTTCTTCCTGCCTTTCATCGAGCCACTGAAAGCTTTTATGAAAAAGTGTACCTCAAATCCGGATCCAAGAATCGGTCCAGCACTTCCAATATAAAGCTTGTGGGCGTCTTCCATGGTCAATTGAGGAAGATCACTAATCTGAAAATTAGAAACATAAAAAGTAGAAAAACAATTGAAACAAGAAATAATACTCTGGAGAAGGCTACGGTCGCGCCACGTATGCGACTGACATTCGGAGCCTGTTCACATGATATTGGCAACTATACAATAATTCCCCTATCAGCAGCTGCGTCACCCAATGGACCCAGTGGTATTAACATATGGCGTACCGATGTCTTTCGCAAATTTCAAGCCAGAAAGAATGGGAGGTTCAGCGAGTGTGAAAGGTTTTGTGCTCATAGACCGTGCAGATCTGTCGGCGATTCTTGCCATTGGACCCCCTTCGGCCATCACCAATTGAATGCCCATACGCAAAAGGAAAGTAGATTAAAATGCAGAAAGAAAATTCCAAAACAGGAGAAGAGTTCTCCCCAGTTACAGCTCCTTAAAAATGGCAGCTATAGTCGAAATCACGGGAGCCTTAGTTACAAAATGTTACCGAAAAGAATACTGTGGACATGGTTCAAAGTTGAATCGACAGTGGTAGCACAGTGACCAAGACGTACCACGCAGCTCTACGGGGGTCGAGACTGAACTCGCTTACATTAAACAAACTTTTGAATCTCTCGGTACCACATGAGCAGTCTGTACTTGAGGGATGAAATTGTAATACTTATACAGCTGCCTTCCGAAAGGTCAAAAACGCACTCAATTCGCCTGCATGCTTGCAAGTGAAATGCATGGCTCACACTGAAAAGGGACAATCAATCACCATCCATTTCGACTGTAGGAAGCGTAGTCCGTACTAAAAAAGATGTTTCTATCGGGCAAGTTCCCTAGAGGGTCAATGGTCTCATGTCAGAGTAAGAACTCAGGATGGATAACTAAGAACTATGAGATTCTGCTAAGCACTGAGAATGACCTTATCGAAGGACTTAGATTTAAACTGATCCAATTTATGAGTATTTCATGAGGGCCGTCCACTATTATGACGATTCACTCAAAAGCTGCCGAATACATAAAAATGTACGTAGGCGATAATTTGAGCAATACAGTTTGAGCAGCCTTGAACGAAGACCTTCAGAGGACGAGGAATTGCTAAAATTTCTGCACCTGCAACCGACTAGCGACTTCTAGAAATGAGGAAGTGGTCGGACCGCACCTTCCATTACTATTTGAAGAATTGGAAATCTCGCGATTTGGAGAAAACGCAAATCGACGAATCATGAATACACCCTGGAAGGAATTCCTATGGGTTATAGTCCTTACTTGGCTACTTGGTTGAGAAACTGCAAGTCCGCAACTTTATTCTCTCGAGCAGCCAAGCACTTTCACGTACCCATTCGTTCCGAAGCACTGTTAACAAACAACCATCAAAGCACCGACAGGCCCAACATGAAGCCGTGCTGGTACCTTTACCCATTAAATGATTTGAGACACAATGGGAAGGAGCCTGTAACCTGTGAACCCAAGCTTCAACCTTTGAGTCCACTGGTACCTATGTGAATGGGTTGCACGACCTGCTGATCAAAAAATCTCGGCTCGACTGCAGCACATTACCCACGAGAAAGATGCTCTTGTTCTCAGTAAGTGTCGCACTGCTGCGCTGCTGGGGAACAGAAACGTTGCAAACTAGAGGAGCGGAAAGTGCACCTCCGGTGGTTCGCTTCTTTCCTATATCAACCCTCTGAGAGATCAAAATTTCAGCCTGGACTCACTTCTCTTTCAGCAAATCGAATACACTTGAAATAAAGAGTGACTGAGTCCTTTGTGACTTCGAATGCGATCTGCGTCCACTGCTGCACGAACTCGGGCACGAGAAACGAAGCAATTGCGCGTGACGTCGCGTCGCGGCGGGACGAATAGATCAGAGAGATGTTCGTCTGGCCGGATCCTGAAAATCACATATAGCTCCAGCAGATGGAGTTTCTTTTCTGAAACCTTCATAATGGAAATCTTTATTATATATTTTATGTTATATTATTGGATCACTTGCTCGAGAAAGCAAAAATATCAACACAAAAACAAATTTGCCTTGAATATTTTGCTAAAAGGTTTCTCTAGAAATTTAAATTTCTATACTCGAAGTTGTTTGCGAGTGTTTTAGCCTTAAAGGCGCGGGTTGCGATCGAACTGGTGTGTTATTCTGTTTGACAAGAAGTGCATCACGAACTTAGTGGGTTAAAAAGCGCCACAAAAAGCACTGAAGTCCTTCTTGTGAGTTTATTTACGACCGAGAGACGCTACGCTACGAGAAGAGGTACAACGCGAGAGAGCACATCATACGCGAAAGGGCGCAGACGTCACGCATGTTACGACGGATGAGAAATGGCAGCGGTCGCAGCGATCAAGAGAAGACATTAGCTGATCTGTCACACACTTTCATGTCATTGCAGTACCACTGTGAGTAGAGATTCTGTTATCTCACCCAAGCAGAGAATTTCTCCAAGTGCTTAACCGTAACCCATGCCTTAGAAGTTATGGTAAGGTTTTATGCCTTTTTGCCCCATCGCCTAAATTATCCTTCGCGTTTGTAGCGTAGCGCTAAAACCTCCTTAAATAGCTTATCAAAGAGATTTACTTAGAAGCTTTCTGGTACTCCTGGGAAGGAATACTCTTGTACTTTCTTTTTTGATCCTTTCTCTTCCCTTGGCTTTGTTGCTAGTCCGCTGCTTCCCTGGGAACCGGCATTTCGTTCTGTGCGTAGATGAATAAATAAATAAATATACATTCGAACCTGCTGGTTCCAACAGTACACCGACGTCTACGAGAGTGTCATACGGGTTGACAATAGCAAAGAGATAACCGCCACGTCGATCCATCGGCTTCACTGAGGCCAACAAGGAGAACTGTGGGAAAAATCGTCGTGGTAGATACAGTCGGTACGGTACTGCAATCTCGACGCCTCGCTGAAAGTAAGCTTATTAGGGTAAAACTGAGAACCAGTAGACCTTGGCCCTAAACAGCTGAGTCCATTGCAAGGAAATGGTTTTGGTTTTTCGTGAAATAATTGTTCTGGGGAATCCTTCAGTGTGGCTTCTTCATTAGTTACCTCACTCCAACCCACAGTTAGCTGAAACTCACGGTTAGTCCTCATTCCAACACCGCCCTTCGCTCGTGAACTTATGAGGCACTGAGTTCAGGTAGGAGGTGAATAAATAAATATCTACATGAACATCATACTTCTATGACTCTAGCGCGGGTTCCCCTTGCCAATAGCTTACCTTTACTTTACTATTATTTTGCTATTGTTGACATTTAAGGTACATATAACATATTTAAGGTATATATAAATATAATAACAAAATTGAGCAAAAATAAGCAATAGCAAAGGTAGGAGGTGAATAAATTAATATATACATGTAGAAGATTACCCATCGTGCATTTTGCAATGGAAGGAGACAATAAGCTACTATCGCTCTCACATTAGTCCGAAAACTTTCAAGCGGCATAACTGATCAAAGTTGAACTTATATTTGATACATTTGAGACCTAAAGGATAAAGGATAAAGCATTTGCCGTTGATCAATCCCTTTTTGGGATGCGGCACGCATTCTACTTCCATTTGTACATTCGTAGTGGCGTTTGAATGCGATGTGGCCTATACAATGACTTGCGGGGCCAGCCGATGTACAAGTCAGTGTTTTTATCCTCCCAGACAAGTCTGGTACCAATTAACCGACCCCGGAGGGATGGAAGGCTTGGTTGGCTCGGGCGACTCACGAGCCAGGATTTGATCCCCG